AGGGTGTTTTTGTTATTGTAGAGAAAACGCCAGGGCAGTTTTGACTTTTTGTCATTTTTATATAATATGTGTGGAGATTCTGGTGGCTCTAGGTGGAGGAGAGTTAAAGGCATTTTGATAGCGATACACATATCCTATTCCTTCTTTTGGTATGCCTTTACTTTTTGGTATTCTTTGTTTTTCCTATTCAAAAGTAATCAATATAATTACCTCTACCTTTTTTTTCCGCTCCAATCTTTTATTTTTATCTAATATTCCTCTTTGAAAACTGACATATATATATATATAAGTAAAATATTAAGCATCACTACACTAGTATTCATGACTATGATCACAAAATTTCCAATTAATCAGAAATGTTCATATGGAATTATTTCTTCCTATTTCTTGATTTGTGGATATAAAATTGAGATATCTGAGTCTATATAGAAAATTAAATTACTAAAAATTATATAGCTGGATATGGGGAATTTCTATGATTGGAACATCCCATCATAAGGAATTCTTGAACCGTTACACTTATTTGATAAGCGTTATATGATTTAAATCATACGAATTGATCATTACGAATAATAACTCTATAAATTTTTTTTGGTAGAACATACTAATTTTATAAAGTCCAAAATACATTTCCCTTAAAATATGATATTGCGTGCATATATATATATATATAATTTTTTATTCAGAAAAAATGACATCTGTGTATATATTAATATTTGACTAAAATAATCAAGAGAAGTACTGTAAAAAAAAAAAAAAAATATATATATATATATATATATATATATCGGTGTGGCAATGATGAGAGGAAAGAGCACAAGTGGGCGCAGGTTAAGCACGTGGGCGTCGCCTCCTGAATTGCACGCTGGCATGGCCATGCTAGCTTAGACAATGGCTTTAAACCATATTCTTGATGTTACAAAATAAACACTATATATCACTATTTATTTATTTATTTATTCTTTTACATTTCCATTTTTTCTTTTTCAGATCGATTAGTTCGATGAATGATTAACATATCTGCTGCTGGGAAGTATCATATAAACTTTAGATTTCGGGTTGCCAATTTGTCATTTAAAACCATTCTTTATTGCATTCACTGCTTTCTAATTCAAGTAAACATTCCTTAATATATTCTGGTTTCTAAAGCAGCAAATATATTATTTTCTTTCTTTCTTTCTTTTTACTGTGCCTTTTGTTTGACGTGTGCGTATGTTGTTGGGATTGCGGTGAATTTGGTTCCTTTGTTTGCATGTCCAAATCACACATGGGGTATAGAATTTGACTGATAGGACTAGGGCCTCGTGTTTGATTTTCTGGGTTTTTGTCACTTTTGAGTTTTGACTGTTTCTCTTTTACATATATAAATTCTGTTTTGTATCACATTATTCCACACGCACAACCTAAAAAAAAAAAAAAAAAAAAAAAGTTTTATCCCATTATTCCCCCCCCCCAACCAAAAAAAAAAAAAAAAAAAAAAAAAGAGGCCTTGGTTTTCCTCTATTCTTGGATATATATTCTCCCTCTCTCATCCAAGAAACTCAAACTTAATTGTGTCTATTACTAAATACTATTGTTCATTTTTATTTTCAGCTTCATGAAAATAAACTCTTTCTATGATATGATTAGTTCTAGCTAGTTAGGTAACTGAGTGGGAAATATTGTTAAATTACACAGGAAATGGTTGGTCTTGACTGTGTTCTTTTTCTGGAAAGCTTGTGTTTACTATTGGCGAAGGAACATTTTATGGCTCCTGGTGGACTGAAAGGCTGGTAGCTTTTTCACACAAGTCAAGAAGTTTGGTTTGGTTCATTTTTTTTTTTTTAATTTTATTTTATTTTAAATCTCATTTCTGATACTTTATGAAGCGTCTCATGAACACCTAAGAAGGAAAAAATAAAAATAAAAATAAAGTTACAAAAAATAATCAGTCATGAAGTTTATGAAACTTGGATCTCGGCCAGATACTTTCTACACTACAGAAGCTGTGAGGTAAGATCATATAATATATATCTCTGATTAAACACAAATCTATTTATTTGTAAAATATTAACCAATATGAGATTGTCTCTCTGTTTCTTTTCCCCAATAATTCAGGTCTATCTCTTCTGAAGTCTCTAGTGATCTCATAATTCAAGTGAAGGGAAGCAGATATTTGCTTCACAAGGTAAGTAATTTTATGAAAAATATGTCCAAGAAAATTTAGTCACTGTTAACAGACGCAGGATGCTGATTTTGGTTCTTGTTTTTGTTTGTTCTTTTTTTCTCTCTCTTATGATGGCTTCACAAAGTTCCCTCTGCTGTCCAAGTGCCTGCGGCTTCAGAGGCTATGCTCCGAATCCCCCGAGTCGTCGCAGCACCAAATAGTACAGCTCCCCGATTTCCCCGGCGGAGTTGAGGCCTTCGAGCTCTGCGCGAAGTTTTGCTACGGCATCACAATCACCCTGAGCGCGTACAACATTGTGTCCGCTCGCTGCGCGGCGGAGTATCTTCAGATGACAGAAGACGTTGAGAAAGGAAACCTCATATACAAGATAGAGGTCTTCATGAACTCATGCGTGCTCAATGGCTGGAGGGACTCAATTGTGACACTGCAAAGCACAAAGGCCTTTGCTTTGTGGTCAGAAGACCTTGGGATCACAAGCAGATGCATTGAAGCAATTGCCTCAAAAGTGTTGAGCCACCCTTCAAAGGTGAGCCTCTCACATAGCTATTCGAGAAGAGGAAGAGATGATGTCTCATGCAATGGCGGTGAGAGCCACAGATCATCACATAGGCCAACAACAAAAGGATGGTGGGCTGAAGATTTGGCAGAATTGGACATAGACCTTTATTGGAGAACCATGATTGCTATAAAATCAGGTGGGAAAATTCCCTCCAATCTCATAGGAGATGCTTTGAAGATATATGCTTCCAGGTGGCTTCCAAGCATACCAAGAAATGGTTCTGTCAAGAGAGGAGGAGGAGGCGAGTCTAACTCGGACTCGGATTCGGACTCGGCCACGGAGGCTAGTTCTAAGCATAGGTTGTTATTGGAGTCAATAGTTAGCTTACTTCCAGCAGAGAAAGGTGCTGTTTCATGTGGTGTTTTGCTCAAGCTAGTCAAGGCTGCAAACATTCTCAACGCATCTTCTTCTTCCAAAATGGAATTGGCAAGAAGAATTGCGCTTCAGTTGGAGGAAGCAACAGTCAGTGACTTGTTGATACCTTGTGTTCCTCACAAAAACGACATAAGGTATGATGTGGACATAGTTATGATCATATTGGAACAGTTCATGTTACAAGGGCAAAGCCCCCCAACTAGTCCTCCAAGGTCCAAGCTCGGCTTTGAAAGGAGACGGCGGTCTCGCTCCGCGGAGAATATCGATTTCGAGTTCCAGGAGAGCCGGAGGTCTTCCTCAGCCTCACACAGCTCAAAGCTAAAAGTGGCAAAACTTATGGATGGTTATCTTCAAGAGATTGCAAGAGAGGCAAACTTGCCACTCTCCAAGTTCATTGCTATTGCTGAGGCCATACCTGATTTTTCCAGGATTGACCATGATGATCTCTACAGAGCAATTGACATTTATCTCAAGGTAATAAAAGACAAGAACTACTATTTTCCCAGATTTTTCATTTCATTTTTGTTTTTAACAAGTTCCAACTTCTGAACATACTTTGTCATATATTAGGATGTGGGTCAGCATTACATCAGTAGATTACCAACTCTCTTGACCTCAAAATCTTGTCATACCCACAATTAATTATCAGTTAGGATTAGGTTGTCCCACCGGGAAATTTATCAAGGGAATGATGATTTTATTTAGTGTGGTAATTTATACTTTTCTCTTGCTTTAAATGTTTGTCCATGTTCCTTTATTATGTCAAAATTTCTATTTTTGTTTTTAAACTCAAGTTGGTAGGATCTTAACTCAACACCTTAAGATGAGGTTAATTGAGTACGAAATTACTGTTAGGTTATACATGCAACCGCGAATTTCCTGCTTAGATTCCCAATTTTGTAACTTCTTATGACCAAAATATGTGACATATATATAGGCACACCAAGAGCTGAACAAGAGTGAAAGGAAGAGACTTTGCAGAATCCTAGACTGCAAAAAGCTATCAATGGAGGCATGCATGCACGCAGCACAAAACGAGCTACTCCCTTTGAGAGTGGTGGTCCAAGTCCTCTTCTTTGAGCAAGCAAGAGCCACAATGGGTAATGGTGGTAAAGTGACTGAACTTCCTAGCAACATAAGGGCACTTCTAGCCTCACATGGCATTGACCCATCAAAGGCTAGAGGGCCATTAAGTAGCACAACTACCATACCAGCTGAGGACCAATGGAGTGTCTCAGGCCTTAAATCACCCAAGTCCAAGATTTCAACTTTGAGAATGAAGCTGGCTGAGGATGATGGCTTGGATGAAAATGATATGCAACTAAACCCAGATGGGATTGGGATTGGGATTGGGATTGGAAAAAACTCTAGGCTTAAGGCTCTTTGTGCTCTTCCCACTAGACCAAAAAGAATGTTCAGTAAGTTGTGGTCAGCAAATAGAACTCCTAGTGAAAAGAATTGAGAGTGGAAATTTATTTTTTTGGTTTTTACTTTTTTTCTTGGCCGGGTATGGTAATCTAAAAAGGGTAAACATATACTCTGCTCTTTTCTTTCTTTCTTTCTTTTTTCTTTTTTTCTTTTTATTTTTGAAAAAATCAATCCCATGTAACTTTGAGTAGGATGAAGAAAAAGAAAATGAAGAAGATTAAGAATCCCAATGTGCATTAATGTGGATGTAATCTATAGTAATAAGTAACAAGATTTTCAGGACAATGAGATGGAAAATCTCTTTGCTGAATCTTTATTAGTTGTAAATGACTAATTTGTGGGACCAGTTTTGTTGTGTTTGTCTATAAATCTGCAACACCTGTCCTTGTCTCTTTGTTGCACCTCCTTGGATTCCCACCTGTAAATCAAAAGATTTATTCTTGGTATTTCCATGTGTCTGACTTGGACACAATGCACTGCTTTGATTTGGAATTCCTGTCTTATTTCTTTGTTTTGAACTAATTATTCAATCTTCCATGTAAATTCCTTTTGGAGTTTAGTCAATAAAATACACTCTCTGTTTCGACATCTGATCAGAGTAAAGGTTTAAAAGTTGAGATCTCGTGTTGTTCAAAGAGTTCTTGCACGAAGTTTGCGTAATATTCTACGTTAGATTAATGAATAGCTCCTCATGGTGCAGAAGAAAGTTCTTTAAGAAAAAAAAAGGAAAAAAAAAAAAAGGAAAGAAAAGAATAGAAAAAAAGAACTGAACAACTATGAAAGGTATAAACTACTGAATCGAGTTACACTACAATCAACCAAACATGGTTGTAAAACCCAACGATTGTTAGGCATAAGATGACTCGAATAGTTGATTTTTTTGTCGTTAGTCTCAACTTGACAAAAATAGTTTCAAATTTCAAGGATCTAAATTGATCTGTCATATGTTTCGCGTATCAAAAACTGACAAATTATTATGAAGTTAATTTGTGTTGTGATAATTGAGAAGAAAAAAAAAAAGAAAACTTATAAAATATCTTACAAAATGTTGGTCATCACAAACATAATCTGGAAACAAGGGACCAACCTAATTAACGAAGCATAGAATAAGAAAAAGGGTCTAATTAAGGACTCAAATGTACCACATCAAAGCAAATTCTACCATCAATACATGCATTGACTAAATTGTGGTTATGATTACACATTCGCTTGCTTTTCCCCCCAACATTTTGCAGTGACTTGATAATTCCAAAAACAGTTAAGCAATGAATGGTCATTTTCATTCTTCCGGGTTTTGATGTGAACTTCCAAGACTTCTTTTTTTTTTTTTTTTTTTTTTTTTTTTTCTTTATGTCATATGAATTCCTTTCTACAATTTGTGGAAATCCATTCCATCCATTATGCGCTTGAGCTTTATGATTGAGATCAAAGTTTTTGCAGGCCGAGAGAGACATCTCACTAGGTTTGGTATTTGGTATTAGAGGTAGCTAGGTAGGCTGATTCTTCTTCTGAGTAAGCTTATGGATAGAGAGCCACACAAAAAAAAAGTAGATCATTTTTAGGACGGTGGTCGTTGGTCTTTGGACATCATTATGGTTACAATTGTTGTCATCATAGTTTTCTTCGACATTTGATCAACTATTCTGAATCAGATGCGTGGATTATATTACCATGCTATTTCACTTTTCACTCAAGGAAAAATATGTAGTGTCTTCTCTGTCATTATCCTCTTTTCCCACTTTTTTACTTAAGAATTTTGGTATGTGTTTTCTTGTTTGGTCTTAACATCTTTGCTGACCCTTTTGATTAAACTTTAAAAACAGGTAACTAAAGTAATGATGGACATAATCTTTCAATTTTTTTTTTTTTTAGCATGATTAAGAATACAGTGTTTCCTTTTCTATTACAAATATTTTGTGTATTATCTCCCTTCCTTTTCTAGTCACTTTTTATTTCCCTTTTATTATTCTGTTTCCTTGAGCATTTTCTCATTTAATACCTAACCCTTAACAGATTCAACAAATTTAATTGTCGTTTGCACACTTTCTTGTCATTAATATAAGAGCAAGAACATGAATACATATCAAGTAAGTTTGAAAATTCGGGATCAACTCACGAAAACGACTGATGAGCCTCTAGAAATCCTTGCTTTTAATCAAATCTTGTTTCCTCTTTCTTTGTAACGACCACACAATTGGGTTCCTTAAAAAGGTTTGAAAGAGCCTAATAATAAAATAAAACAAAATTATGTCTTGACAGCTGATCAGTACAAGAACCAAGTGATGTTGGCCAAGTAATTTGTTCTAGGGATATTAACTTTTTTCATTAATGACTGATGTTTTCTAAATTTACCAAAATGACCTTTTTTTTAATTACTGATGCATCACTAATTGACTTTAATTTAGACGATTCTTCGTTATTGGTCAATATCAATTAATAATTTATCAAAATTAATCAATTAATTGATTTCAATCAATAAATTATAAGTTTATTAATGATATATCATTGAAAAAATTAATAGTGAATTGGTTTATCAATGAATAACTGTGGGTCAATCACTGATTAACTATAAATTAATAACTGATTGATCTTAAGCCAATAACTAATTGACTATGGAAGAAAAACGACTATTTTCTTAAAATAAAAAATTTCGGTCATTTCTAGAAAAATAAAAATTTCAGCCATTTTATAAAAAAGTGGTCAAAAAACAATCCTTTAACTACTTTTATCTTATTTCTATCTGATGGTGAATAAATTACAAAAGTATATTTGACGCATCTATCTTTATCCCTAAACTTAATAAAATCTTACAGAATGTCCCAAAATCTTCAATGACTACTATCTAAATTCAAATAAAAACTCTCTTTTATACGTTACATATACTTTTATTCTGAGAAAGAAACTGACTCTCGAACCCCATCATGTTACATTTACAAAGCGTTTACCTCCAAATTTTAACATCATTTATCGATTTAGAGACACCATGCAACATTTACTAAATCTATAGATAATTTACCATAATTGAAATTTCAGTAAGGAATTTACCAAAACAATCAAAATTCAGGGCAAAAACACCAAACGACCTTTACAAATTTTACATGTCACTATTTGGTAACATATCTTGGATGGAACTAATGATCTCAAGCCCATTTCATGTTCATTAGCATTCAAACTTTGAATAAAACGAATAATATATAACATATCTTCCCATACATACAAACACACACAAAAACAGAAGAGAAGAAAGGGGGGAGACTAAAGTGTACAAATTACACAAAATTCAGACCCTTGGAACAATGATTGGCATAAACAAGCTATAATTACAAACACTTATAATTTCATGAGAATCACTGAGCCGTAGTGGCAGTATTATTATTGTCATTATTGGTAGTATGAGGTGTAATAATATGATTGGCCTTGGCTGAGGCTGAAGTGTCCATACTTTTGGTGCGTTGGAGGCTTGGAGATCGATGAAGCCTGCACCTGAACGAACCTGCATGTGTGGTGGGAGAGCACAGGCAGTTGCTCTTTGTGACACTGGGCTGCCTCGTAAGCCCACCAAGCCCAGGCCCGGATCCCGACCCAGGCCCAGACCCGGCCACCATCATTTCAGCCTCCGATGAAATCTCCACTTTCATATGATTCAGCTTGGTTGTCAACTGTCCACTGCCCATTTCACCCTGCAATTTCTCACGTTCAAAGCTTCAATTGATGAAACTTATAAATAAATAAAAAAAAATACACCAGCTAGGAAAAAAAAACCACTTCTCTCAGAAAAAGGAAAAAAAAAAAACCCACGATCACTAAATTTATTTATTTTTTCTCCTCTATTATTCAAAGGTGGAGATTGCACACAAACATATGAAAAAACCATATATAGAGATGTTAAGAAGACGAAGAGAGAAAAAAATAGAGAAGTAGCGCTAGGTTTAGTACTTTGACCTGAAATCCCAAGAAGAAGTTAATGTGATCCAGTACTACAGGCTTTCGGAGAAGATAGAAATTAAAGAGATAAAAGAGAGAAAGCAGAGAGGTAAGAAAAGTTGATATGTTGAAGATGTGATTTAAAACAAGATAGGCACGCCAATATCTTATCTGCTTTCCCTCTTTTTGTCACGGGAGTGATCACTGATATGATCATGAACAATCGACTATACCCATTAGCGTCACACCTACACTACTAATTATTTATCCACACTTTTTGGCAAAAAATGCTTCTACCACCATTGGAAACCAATATATATATATATACACACACACACACACATCATGTGTATACGCATTATCCACAGGATGCCCACCGACGAACTCCTTCATTGGCTTTTTTTTTTTTTTTTTCTTTTTCTTTCTTTTCTATCTCTTGACAGATAATTTTTTCTTTTCAGTTGCAATGTTAGAATCATGAGAGTGGTACCCTCTTGAAAAATAAAGATCCTTTAGAGAGGTAGGGCATACCCGGCCCACCACCATTATCATGTTACACATTATCTGTGGGTCAGTTTCATCATTTAAATCAGGATGTGATGCCATTCCATATCTTATATTCAAATTACATGCCATTATTTGAATGTATTTTCGGTATCCAACGTCATATAATGATATCCAGTACAATATGAACCGTCCGATTTAAATCTCCCGACTGCAATCACTATCCTTATAGGACTCTGTAATGAGGATTCTACACTGCAGATTTCCCTATATATATTAATTATAGATATCATTGTAACGTGGTTGACGGTCTTTAGGATGTGTTTGATGTCCTGCAATTTTGTCCTACCAAATAATTAATTTTGTATCCTTGTGTCATGAAATCGATCGTCTAATTATTCTTAATATGCCTATAAAATAATGAAACTATTGATTGAACGTACCAAACAGCTTTGGATCCATGCAAACACGTACAGAATATGTGACCAAATATCTGTACGTCCATATAGTTCAAAAAATTAACTAATTGTTCAGGGTCCATCACTTAATGGGAGAAAGACCACATGATATCCATTGATTGTCCTTTATTTTAATGAAGGTTACTTATCGTTGGACAGCTAGAAATCACATGGACTTTAACTGAATGCAAATTTGGAAAGAGGAAATTTGGTTGATTGAATACAGTTTTTGACGTAATGATCACTTGTGCTCAAAATTTTCATATTATTTTGCTACTCTTTTTTCTTACAGCAATTATAAAGCGTTTGTTTTTCTCAGAAAAAAGAGACAAATACCCCTTTAATCAGTGAATGAGTATGGATTTTTAACCTTTTACTATAGATTAATATGATATTTTTTAGTCAATAATTATATTAGCCAAAAGAGTATTAATCAAAAGCAAGGACTAAAAGTCCAGACCGCATGCACTCTAAGAGATTTTTGCTACATATGCTCAAAACTCAAATCATGGTCTGCCAAAGTGTTTTGCTCTTACAAAAAATTTAAATAAAAAAAAATCCCGCCAATAGGTCTCTTGTTGGATC